TGGACTTCCCAGCCTCTGAAACTGTAAGCAATAAATAATGTTTCTTATAAATTACCCAGAAACAGGTATTCTGTTATAAACAACAGAAATGGACTAATACAGTTCATAAGGGTTATTGGCCTCTAATCTTCTATTCTCATAACGTCCTTGTCTGGCTCTGGTATCAGGGCAATTCTGGCCTCATAAAACGAATTTGGAAGTATTCCCTCTTCCACGGATGGCTTCAAAATTATTGTTGCTGTGGGGGTAAGGGAGGACCACTAGCGAATAGGATATTCCATTATCTCATTCACATTACTCTGTTAATGTTTTTATTTGGAAGTTTTAAATATGGTTAAAGTGTAAATGAATGACAAATTGATGATGGGTGGACTATGGTGGTTTGTACTGTGTTAACTTGGTTAAGGTAGAATTGGTTCACATTACTCTGTTAATGTTTTTATTTGGAAGTTTTAAATATGGTTAAAGTGTAAATTAATGTCAAATTGATGATGGGTGGACTATGGTGGTTTGTACTGTGTTAACTTGGTTAAGGTAGAATTGTTTTCTAGAATCCATTTCACTGTAAGTGTCCTGGTTAAAGTTGACTCAAAGAAGAATTTATACAATATTGGGAAGGCAGAATTTAAGCAGAAGCCATTACTCTGTGAAAGTCATCATGCTTAGAGATGGTAAAAGACTGCAGAGAAGCCAGTGGGTTCCAACCTGTCTTCACTCCTCTGCCCAGTGTCCAGTTCTTCCTCCCAACTGCTGACCCTGTTGGAAAACAAAGGCTCTAGACCCACCAGCAGATGCTTGGCAGCCCACTGTCAAAGGCAAGTTCTACTCAGAGGCACAGCTTCCCTTAGACATTCCTACAAGCCTTTCCTTCCCAGTCTCATTGTGGCAGTTGGACAAGGTGGCTTCTCAAATTAACTGACTGGTAACTCCCTTTCTGACTCTTCAATTTCTCTCCTAAACCTTCACTTCCCCAGAACCACTTGTAATTGTCTAAGATATAATAATTCCTATATCTTTTATCCTATATCCTGTAGTGGTTCTTCCCTCACTGAACCTGGACTGGTACAAATAGGGAAAGTCCTGATGGAATTTAGGCCTGTTTCACTTAAGATCCTGAGATCCAGTTACAACCTGTGTTTCCTACATTTAATTGTTCAATCATTATTTGGATCATGTTTATGAAACAAAATATTTTTTTCCCCTAAGCTAATTTGAGTTGGTTTTCAGGTACTTGTAATCAAAAGAACTGTAACTAATAACCTGTGGCAATGTTAACTATAGGTCTCTTGCATTTTTGCTTGTCTGTGAGCAGAGACACAGACTGCTTATGTTTCAAAGTATCCTTTCCAAGCATGTTTATATTAAGAAACAACTTTGGAAGACAGAGATAGTGGCTCCCTCTAGTGCAAAGGGAAGGCATGCTTTACTGTCCTTTATAAAATATTTGGTTCCCTAAATGCTGTCCTGTAATGCAACCCAGTTTGTGCAGGTGTTATCTGGCCCTCTTCACACTGCCCTGTGGGAACTAAGGCTCAGGAAACAATACAAAAACGATGATACTCTGGATATTGCTATTGCTATGAATATTAAACTGTCCTCTGACCCAAAAGACATGAAACTGTTGCAGGCTAACTTGTCGGCTTGCATAGAGGGTAAAATCTCAGATACTTCATAGTTCTTGAAAATAAGATTATTTTAGACTGGTGTAATTTTGTAAGTATTGTTTACTGGTCTTTTCAAAGAGAACAATGTATACACCTATGATATGGAGTAACATTTTTTAAAAAAACAAGTAAATGTGTTAGATTTCTAAGAAATAAATTAAGTTTACTATATCATAATAGTGTAACAATTACTTTATATACATAAATCTCTTTATTTCTTACTTGTAATAGACAAGAATTTGGTTAGGATGCTTTGGTTATAGTAACAGAAACAAAACTCTTTCTAGTTTATGCAAAAAGAAGAATTTATTACAAAATTACAGGGTATCGTAACAAAGCCAAAAACAACAGTTAAAGCCAGGACAAGGGATGGTAGCCAGCAACAGAAATCGAAGCTGACCTAAGCAAAAAGGGGAGTTTATAATTAGGATACAACGATACCTTACCTAGCCAAGGACAGGGAGTATAGCCGTGCTACATGAAGGGCTGGAACAAGGGAATGGAGCACTGTTAGAAACCCAGGAATCATACTTTCCTGATCTCTCATCTCTACTGTTCACTTTGAAAATGCTTCATTTTTCTCTCACTGTAGATTTGCTGTTTGTTCTTTCTAAGCCACATGGTGGAACATGGCAACCCACAGCCTCCAGTCGGTACTTCCTCTATTCTAGAGGCTAGTCAGACCAAGGCTAAAATCTCATCTCTAACCCCAAATTCCTCTGGAACTTTTAGGACCACACCAAAAATAGAGATAACTTCCTTCTCTGGGATAGGCAGTAAAACAGAAGTTTCAGAACACCAAGAGACAGAGGCCAATTAAAATTTTTGTTTTCACTGCTCTGTACAGAACTTGAGCTGAAATAGCTTACTTAGATTTTGGGTTGGATAGAGAAAGATGTGCTCAGAACCCATAGCACACAGTGTGGAAACGACCAGGTGCTTTAGATGAGAGAGGTGTTCTAACCTCTTTTTAATATTTCCCCTGGGACAGAAGTGATAGACCTGAATAATGTTGTCTTACTTGAGACAAGTTTCTTTGCACTGTAATAGGTGTGATTTATCTCTTGGGAAGGTATGGACAGGTCCTGGTATGAGTAATTTAAAGCATAAAAGGTAAATTATATTTTGTTAATTGTTTCTCCCAAGAGAAAGAAAAAAAGGGATTAATTATATGGATGGTGTTTAGAAAAAAGAAAATAAAAGAAAAGATTAATTACATGGTGGGTGTCAGAAATCCCTCAGAACCATAAGTAGAAATTTGACCAAGGGTCTCTCAGACTGGAGAAAACTCTGATTCATCTAGGTTGTCAGGTGTCTATGAACCATTTTCATGATAATGGGGTGAGCGTTGAGGGGTATTCTGAGAAACAGAGACAAGAAAGCAAAGAAAATTATTTTCTGAATTCTTCACAGTGATCCAGCCTCCCCTGTAGGAGCAAAATTATATTGCTTACCAAAAGCATGATGTGATAATATTTGAATAGTAGGTGATTTATGTATTTTAAATTCAGGAAAGCTAATAGAGGTATTCCACCCAGTCCCACCCACACTGAAATAAAATTGAAAATGTCAAAAGTGAAAGGAAATGCTGTGATGTTTTATTAAAAAATATATTACATTTGTGCTAAAGATTTCTTAAAGTGTTTCTCCTGTATGTTGAAATACATTCCAATTATTTATTATGTCTTTTGATAAGATACAAAGAGTTAAGTTTAATGTTCATGATCCCTCTAGTTCTTCTTGTAATTTTGGTTCTAGAAATAAGAACCAGCAAGGGAAGTAGGAGAACTCTATGGTAAAGAACAAGAAAAGCAATATTAGGACGGACATGTCAAGAGATCCCAAAGCAGTAATTCAGTTTTAACTTTACCTGATTTCAGTGTATACAGGGTTTCAAAAGAAAAAAATCATTCAATATTACATGGAAGATTTTGTATTTCAACCTCTGTGTTTCTTCATGAAAATATTTCCTTAGTGCTGTCATCTTTTTGATCATCATAAAGTGTCGTATTCGGTGCATTTTCAGTACAATCTTCTAATGAAATGGTAGACAGGTATGAAAATACTTTCTCCATTAGAGGTTCCTTGAGAAAAGGCATTGAAGAGTTCTTTTTCACTAGAGAATCATCAGAAAACCAGTCATCAGCTGTTTCTATATTTTGGCTGTAGTAAGAGTCAGGTGGTAATGTTGATAAGCTGCTGCAATTTGTTGCTGAGCTAGTCTCTGGGGAGTCACAAATGACCTTTTTTGTTGCAAGACAGAAATCGTCTTTAGAGTGATCTTTAATTGCTGCAAAAAAAATAAAATAAAATTTACTATGAACAGTACATATACATGAGTCAAATTTTTATACTAAGGACAATGTTTCTTTTTAAGCAGAAATCGTCTTTAGAGTGATCTTTAATTGCTGCAAAAAAACAAAATAAAATGTACTATGAACAGTACATATACATGAGTCAAATTTTTATACTAAGGACAATGTTTCTTTTTAAAATTCTGACTCTTTTTAGGGCTATAATGGACAGGATAATGCTATAAAGAAAATTCTGAGTTGTTATGTCATCTGTACAATGTTACATATGTAAATGAGAATTAGCAATATTTTCATGATAATCAAGAGTCCAAAAGTCTATTCTAAGTAAAATCAACCTGTTTTAACAGGAAAAGATTCTAATTAGGCTAGAAATCTCAGTTCTGAAATCTATGTCATCTGTACAATGTTACATATGTAAATGAAAATTAGCAATATTTTCATGATAATCAAGAGTGCAAAAGTCTATTCTAAATAAAATCAACCTGTTTTAACAGGAAAAGATTCTAATTAGGCTAGAAATCTCAGTTCTGAAATGTTCCTTAAAATCAGAAAAATCAGGGGCCGGCCCGGTGGTGCACTGGATCCCACATACAGACTGGCCGCTCACTGGCTGAGCAAGGTGCGGGTGCAACACCGAGGGCGCACTGGATCCCACATACAGACTGGCCGCTCACTGGCTGAGCAAGGTGCGGGTGCAACACCGAAGGTTGCGATCCCGTTGCCAGTCCCGGTCCGGTACGGGCGCGACACTGAGG